TTTCAATTTGTTGTCCAGATAAACCCACTATACTTAGATAGATGTGGCAGTGCGCCGTGTGGGATACATAGTTACTATACTATACTTAGTTTAACAAACTCTATCATAATGCCTATTATCAACTGAAAAGAGATTCGCCTTACATTGCCTGGTTGATAGTCTGCCCACTCCATTGATCAAATGGTATGATCTTAAAGGAATGCAAATTACCAAGGGGGTTAGGAACATTACAGGCGGTAGCATCTTGACACTTCTAACATATAGCAGTGATCAGTATGGACTGTACATATGTCGAGCACAAAACGAAGTTGGATTTGACGAAAATCTCACAATTTTTTTCAAGGAAAGGTAAGAGATGTATTTTTTTTAAAATCCAGTTTTCTCTCTACAATAATGTGCGGAAAATAACATCCCCCCTTCCTCTGTAGCATATAAACATGCTGTTGTAGAAAAAAAAATGGGGTGGAGGGGGGCAGTGTGTCCGTAGCTTAATTCCACGACTTTACCAGATGTCCTTTAAAATTGTAAAATATTTTTTGTGCGTGTTTTCTCCTACAGATTTGGCTGTCCTGTTTTGGCTCGAAAAGGTCATGAGGTATGCCAATAATCTTTTATATATTTTTGATTCTTCCCTTAAAAATAATATTACAGTTATTTAGCATTATTATTCTATTTTTCCTTCAATTCCTTTCTTCCCTACTTCCCATTTATTCCTTTGTTTGTTTGTTTGTTTTTTATTTTTCTCTCTACACCTTGTAGCTTTAGCTTTAAATACTCTTGAAACAGAGCACTGATGGAGAGAGCTTGTAAAGTGCGCACCGTCGGCTTCCATTGATAACAGTTGAAATTCAACTGAAGGAACTAGCGACGTTAAATATAGCTAATTTTCCTTTTAAACGCTTTCGAAAGCAATTGTTAGTTCGTTATACGTGAATGGAATATTCTATTGAATGCATGCCTAGTCTTGTCCTTTAAAAACATGCAATCCAACATAAAATTGCAGTGAAACAGGTGGTGGTATCATTTCCCAAAGTGTTGGTTTTCTTCAACTAAATCTGCCTCATACTAATAATTACAGTTGATACATCTCAAAGCAACTCTGGATTGAACTAATGATAATAATAATAGTTTATTATTTGTATTGCGCAATTTAACATGTTAATATGATCAACTGCGCATTACATATAGGTACTAGGCATAAAATTAGAATTAGAATCCTGTTTACGCCTTTAAAAATCAATTTGAAAAGTTTTGAATATACTTTTTGACTAGAAAGACAATTTAAATAGTATTGATGAAAATAACCATGGTATCTTATGCTTTAAAAAATAAAGAGACTATAAAAGAACACAAAACAAAAACAAAAAAATCCAATTTAACTAAACCTGAGCCCAAATAATAATAAAAGCCGAGGTGCATTTATAAACTACTTCTTTTCATAAAATCACCCTAGCTTCAAGTTCCCCCAAATATAGTTATATTTGTTCGAATATTTTGAGGTGTTGAAAGTTTTAAAATAACAGGGAAAAATGCTTTTTCCTACATATTGTCAAGAAGCTATATAATTCAAGACGTATTGAAATTGGAACTATATGAAAGTGAAATACGATATATACTAGTTTAAATAGCATTGCAATATTTTGATCCATCAATGCTTCAATCTATAAGAACAATGGGGTTGTCAGTAGATCTATTGATTTCATTGACGATCAAACTGTTACTCTTGAACAAAACGCATGGTGAGAAATTTTACTTTCTCATAGTTTAGTCAACAGAAATATTCACATTGATAAGTCATTCATATTTTATTTATTGAGTAGTTCCACCAAGTGTTTTGTATGTGTCTGTAGGGAAAACAGCTAAGCTCGTGTGGGATTACAGTGTGGATAACAGGATGGAAGAGTTTGATGTTTCTTCACCAAGGTGGATTTTCTATGCAGACAATAAGAGGGCATTTCTAATCGCACAAGAACTTGTGTTCAACAAATGGAAATGGTACATAAACACCAATACATGTCCTGCTAGACTACTGAACMCTGTTCGAGTGAGTAAAGAATCAACTGCTACACTGATAATCCATAATGTNTCAGAAGCATTATATAATTAGTATGCAATGATAAAAATAACTCAGTAATAACTTCATTCTTCGACAAAAGCACAGTTGGGTTTATGAGTTATGTTTGTTAATAAAATTACAATACAGTCTTCCACCCTTATTTGTTTCCACTAGTCCTCATAGTCAAATCCAACTTGTGATTACTTTTTCTACCTAAAAAAGAGCAATCCTGGGCAGCCATATTGAATCCGGTTGGGACGTTGGGACTGGATACTATAAACTGGTGTCTGGGGGGGGGGGAGAACGGTTTGATTTGGATGGTGTTTGGATTTCCTGTGTTGACAATTAAAAATGGCGAACTGATGTTTGGATCGACTTTCTGTTCATTTAAAGACAAAATTTTACATCTTTAAGCTGCGAAATGATCCTGAGAAATTCTTTAAACCTTCTTAAGACCAGTAAGAATGCGGATTTTTTTTTGTAAAAACTTGGCTATTAAGATAACCTTCATATTAATACGGTAGGTAAGTTTAAGCCTTGAACGCCTTCCTATAAAGTCTTGCTCTATTCAATTTTTGCTTTTAAAAGAATTTAAAAAATTAGGGAAAATTGTATATGACTCGTGGTTCACTCGTGACTCGTACTTGACTCGGGCTCGAACTTGGTTCGCTCAACGGAACAACTTAACTTTCAAAACACGAATAATTCCAAACTCAGAAGCACTATAATTAATATGCAATGACAAACGTAATTAAGTAATTACTCCACATTCGGAAGAAACGAAGTTTAAGCTGTCTGTAATTTTTTTTCAAACACGAGTAACTACTTGCACAAATCGATCAAATCTCTGATTTGCATTTTTTTTTTCACCGAGATTGAAGCCTAAACCCTAGCCTCACCACTTGCAATGTTTTCCTCGTTTCCTTTCTGCTCCAATTAAATACTGATATGTAATTGATTAAAATTAGACATATATCTAGGGGGTTTTATGATAAAAACAAACCTGTCAAAAAGCAAGGTTTCTGTTTCAGTTTACCACAAAGAGACCACCACGTATTTCAGGTTCAGTTACTGGGTCAAAAACCTGTTAGTTCAAACAAATAGACAAAGACATTAATTGTTTGTTAGTTATAGACTAAGAAACTTGTCTCAAAGTCTCGAATAACAACTTCGACTAAGATTAGGATCCGAATTTATAAGAAATTTCAACAATAAATAAATATTTATGTTGTGTGTGTGTGATTAGCGAAACCGCCATACAACGACCCTGTATTTGCAGTTCTCTCGTCTCAAAGAAGTTCCCTTTCCCATTTCAACTGAAAACATGTTACTATACTGTACACAGAAAAGAGTTATCAATATGTGAAGCTATATCTGTGAATTATAAGTTTGAATACAGCAGAATATATATAAATGGATGTTTTTTGAGTGTTTTCTTTGATTCATTTCAAGGGAATCACGGAGAATTCGATGCACAATTGGTAAGTATTTCAAAAAACTCTTGCATATTTTTCACAAGAAAAAAAAAAAAGCCCAGTACTATAAGGACCAGTCATAACAAAAGTATATATTAAGAGCAGGAGGAGTGCAGTTGGGCAAGTGGTTCATAAAAATACATCAGTATTATTATTATTTTTGCTAACATAACTATGATCACCAAATTCTCTTGGTCATATATCATAATTCATATATCCCATTATGCATCCCTTCTATTTTATAAATTAGTTTCGAAAGTTGAAAGTCTCCATAGCCCTTCCACCAAGATCCTTCACTGGCTCCGTCAAATTGATTATTTATATCGTTAAGCAAAACATTGAAAGCGATGGTGTTTTTGATATCTCAGCATCTTTTCATCTTGTTGCTTTTAAGATTCTTCGAAATCGTTAAGCAAGGTAAAGAATGTCTTTGATTTTCAATATTTGTTATCCAAATTATCTGCAAAACGAATGCTCTGATATGAGTAGTTGACTGATTGCCACATTTATAACCGATCGAGTGCAGCCCTCTTTGATTTCTTGTATAAAAACATATAATCTGTAACTGGATATTATGACAAGAAAATTGCCCGTAATCGTAAGTAGTACACAATACAGTTTGGGTGGCATCAATATCCTTAATCGGTTACAAAAAATCTTACCAAGAATATATACGTTTAGCTTTGCGCCAAAGCAGTTTAAATCATGCCTATTTTTTGGATTCATCTTTCATCGTCCAAAAGTTCTTCACACCTTACATATTCTCTTCGCACTAGATCGTTCAAAATGGATAGAAATATATAAAAATGCTTATGGAAACACGGAAGGTCTATAAATGGTGCGAGACGGATCTTCTCTACTTTGTTTTAAATATTAGCTTCACTTAGGATGTAGCCTTTGAATTTTTGCCTTCCATGTGTAAAAGGTAAATCAAATACAGTCTATTTAGTTTCATAAGACGGGTTTACAAGTCCTGCAATTATGTCCGATGACTAAATATAAAAAATTGCGGTAGTAAGTTAATGTACACAGACTCAGTTGAATTCAGCAGTAGATGTATACGCCATTTTGGATTTTCACTTTTTACTTTCAGTCACACCTTGAAGCTGGAATGATACAAATTTGAAAAATATGTGAAATTAATCCTAATATTTGATTTTCTGTTCTCGGTCTCTCTTTCTACGTCAATCCTGTAATGTTGTGGATGTCTTTAGAAAGACAGTTTAGAGACACACGTGAGGTTGAAAATAACCTTTACTCAAGAACGACTGACTGTGTACTGAGCGTGACAGGGTTACAACAACGTCACAAATCCTCCCTGTTAAGCCTTCATTTCTTCTCTTTTTTGTTCCTTTTCCGTTTTTGAAATATTCAGTTTTATGTCCAGGATGTTGAAAAGCTAGAAGAAATATTATAGGTTTCCCTGGCTCATCTCGTGTTCTTCAAACATCCTTGGAAGTATTTAGATCAGAGTTCTAAAATAGAAAAGTGTTATCATGTATAGAAAAGATTTATCATGTTCTTAAATTTGCTACTTTGTTTATTTTATAAAATCTACACATTTTCTTCAGGTTATAAAGTTATTTATGCAGAAAGTAGCTCATTGTTGCCATATAATAGCAAACATATATCAATGTCTTAAACTTTTCTGTATTTTTGACAAAGAAAACTCCATAGATGGTCCATCAGATATCGAGGGTTCCATTGGAGGAGATGCCTTGTTTATGTGGATGCTACGGCACAAAAAGAAATCCTTGGTGTCAGCTGGGGAATAAGAAAGGGCAACATCCCTGATCCTCAGTTTATCAGCGTTAATTCATATAATGGAAAGGTGTACATAAACAAAGATATTGGCGACACGTTGAAAAGAAGAGTAGAATTCCTTGGAGACTTGACAATAGGTCGTGCTTGGTTTGTGTTGAAAAACCTTACTGTCAATGACACTAATGAATACATTGCAAGCATCAGTGACAATGTATCTAGAGTTCTACCATATTATGTGCACCTAATGGTTGCAGAGAAGAGAAAAGGTAAGCCATGCACTCTTTTGGGAGTACATAGCTTATTTATTTCATATAAACTTCTGATTCCTTAACTTCTAATTCCCTAATCCACATAGACCGTATTTTCCTTTAGGAAAATAATACAATATACATATTATGCACATTTGTTGTGAAGTGTTATCGCCGGGGTGAGTGTTGCGTTGAGAAAGAATATTGTTGGTGGTGGCTGACCTTTGGACAACCTGAGCTGGACTTAGTCGTTTCAAAGATTTCCTCTAGTTCAAGTCTTCTTTAAGACTATACACGCATCTGGATGATCACTAACTTCACAGCAAACATCAACGCCTGGGTTCAATATTACGAAGCAAAACTCTTTGTAGTATTTCGACAACAATGACAAGTTAGACAAATTCATAACTTTGTTTTCAAGAA